CAGACACTAGTCTGTATCAAAAAACTTGGTAAATTGAATTAGCAAATGAGAGAAAACAAACCACCCCCCCCACCCTTAAGGCAATATGCCTGTCAAAGGCCGTAAACAAAAGTAAAGGTTTGTATATTTTCATGTAAAACTTTCTGTAATTTTAACTCAAATCCACAATTTCAATATATTCGTGATATATAAATATATATATATAAATAAATATGCATCCAGTCCGTAACATAAACAAACTGATACACACAGACAAACACACAGAGGACATCTGTGTTCCATTACGTACCGACAACAACTTCCCGTGAAGACATAAACAAATAGATGATGAGAGCTCGTTTGTTGTGCACTGGGTGGGGGAAAATGTCAGGATGACATTTGGCTGTAGCTATTTATGAGTATGTGTGTTGTTTCTCGTGTGTATCTGTGGGTGACTGAGTACCTACTGTAGCTATAAAATCAAAATATATCAAGGAAAAGGAGGAAAATATAATCTAAAATATAGTTCAATCAATGTGGGATGTGCTGGACAAACAAGCCAGATCTGTGGAGATCCCCCCATTAAATAACTTAGAGGATGTCATGCTAACATGCCAACAATCCCAACAATCCCCTAATGACACAAAAGGTTAGCAAGGACTTTGTGTGTGCATAGTCTCAAACTGCAGAAACCCATTAAAAAAAAAACTAGAACCACCTTAAGTTCTATCTGAATTGGACTCCAACAAGAAGTACCAGTTTATTTAAGCTCGATATGAAGAATACTAAAGGACAGACGAGTCAGTCAGTGTCTCATCTTCAGACTCTGATAGCCTCCAGTGTCTCACTGAGTGGATGAACCATCTTTAATCAACTGGCCTCCACCTAAAACACACATTTTTCAGAACTGTAACCAACTCGTGCGACTTTTGAAGACTTCTTCACATTTATTACATGATGAAACAGGAGGCACAGAAAAGATGGTTTGAGGTCATGACCGTCAAATATCAAGAACACAAGTAAAGCCATTTGATTGCTGCCTGTATTCATTTCAGATGTACTGTTGTCACTCTTTTCATTCTATATAACCAACTGAGGGGCTCTGAAGTCAAACGGACCTGTGTAGGACCTCTGAAGTACTACGAGTCACTTCTTTTAGCAAATAAAAACTATGTTATTAGCTGATCAGCTGATATCCACTCAGTACTGAGCTGTGCTACATCAGTCATCCAATGAGATTAGCCATAATTCAGAAATATGAGTAAAAATATACCTCTTTAACATAGGTAACACAGTTTACATATTTTCCAACCAAGAGGCAGCTGTGCTTTCAGTGCTTTTGGAAACCAGATACTGCAGTCCTTTTGTTTATTGGCTCCATTCTGAAATGTGGTTATTGCCTCAAGCCTCAAGTGCCTGCAAGCTGCAAACCAAAGCAGGCTCGGCTTTAATTAATCATCCGTAAGACTGGTCTAAATAAAACTGTCTCAGGAACAACAAGAGGAAAGTGTGCAACAACATATTTATGGTCTCGGTGCAAAAACTTCTCTCCTCCGTGGCTCTAAAATTGCATCTGTTCGTACTCTCCCATTAAGATTCTCTCGTTCCTCAAAACCTCACATTTCTTTGTCTTTTTCATGAGAACAGACTGTTTGCCCTTGTTTGCCACTGCATCGGCCGCATGCAAAACCAGTCAGAAAGTCACACTTTAAAGTTGGAAGTGTAAATATGTGTCTGTGCATGCATTCATGTGCACAATGCAAAATCAAATCAAATACACACACATGCACTTAAAGCACATTTAAGACAAAAAGTTATAATGTAAACACTGTGCAAGCTTAAAAGAGTGTGTATTTTTGAGCTTCACATAGTGGTTAGAAGAGAAACTCACACCTAGCGACGACACTTATGCAGGCACAAGCATTACAAAGTGTCCATCTGTCCAATCCTAACACTTGTGTTTAGCAAAGCAGATCTGCTCAGCTGTCTGGACAGTCAAAGCAGCTTGTGAGCATCTTATATCCTCCATGTCAATGTTATCTCAAGTATCACGTAAGATTACTTCTCAGTCTCATCCTCCTCCTTATGATGTTTTTTATATTTCTGACTCGTGAACACACAAGTGAGAGGACTCAAAGGACTACAAGACATCAACAATAAACAAGAGAGAAAGGTCAGAGATAAGATAAGGAAGGAGCAGAGAAAGTAGAGGGAAATGTTAAAAAGAAGAAAAATAGAGAACAGAGCACTGAGAAAACCCCAAACGGATAAGTTAGAAGAATACAACAAGACAGAGAATCAGAGAGAGCTGCCAACGAGCAGAGATGAGGTTTATATGTGATGATGCTAGAATGTGTTGCTACCGTTAAGAAGGCAAGTCCCCCCAGTGAGCTGGCAACCAAAGTCACCTTCTGGCAGCTGTCTACTGTCATCTACTAATGCACTCACAACGACTTTTGAACCTCGCAGTTAATGACCAGGGAGGTAATGGAGAGGGATGTAGGCCATGAACAACTCCGCAGTCTGGCAGACTGTTTTAATATTGCTTTCGCACAACCGACAGATTCATCTGCATAGAGTAAATCACCACCAGCATCACCAACTGGACAGAAAAACCAGCACCGTGTGTAACTTCCTGTGTACATCTGTAGCGTTCGGAGAGCCCACACAGGTTTGAACCTCTCAAGTATCACAACTTGCAAAATCTGAAGTGGAAATTCAACACACTGAGCAAGTTCTGCCTCGAAAACTATGGAACAACAATTATCTCTGGGACGTGCTGTGTGTGAAGAGTCTCCTGTTAGTTACTTCAAAAGGTTTATTCAATAACACTTCAGTCGGCACAGTTAAGGTTCCGCAGTTTTGCCGTCTACTGACCAATATCTGAAGTATTTTGGTGCTCAGAGTGCAAATCGCTCTCTCTGCTGCCGAAAGGGTTTCGATTTTTCTGCCATCATCACCACACAGTTGCTGCAGAATTATTCCAAGCCTAAACTAATCCCCTGCTGGGACTAAGCAGCTGGGAATTTTATTTTTTAAGATCTTTTTTTTATTCCCCCATATAGACACAAGCGACAACAATTACCCTAGTTAATTCACCGATCTGTGCAGAAGTCTTGAGCTACCCATCACTTTTTAAAATATTTTGCTTCCAAGGAGTCTGAATTTATTATTACTTTTTTAAAAAGTGCTCCTGAGCAGAAGTTCTCCAGGTGTTCTGGCTACTTTCCCCCACTCATTTTCAGACCAGTCCTTGTATCTGACCATTTTGATTTTATTGTTTTTGTTTTATTGAACTTGGTTAATGCTAACCTATGAATCATTCAAACACATATAATAGTACATTTAGCAAAAAGCCTGTTTTAAAATGTGTCTTTAGGTGCTTTGTAACAAGCAGCCTGTCTAACAAAACCATAATTTGTTCCAGTTTCTGTTAACACAGTCTAACAGGAATGATAAAGTTATTTTGCACTGGCAAGGTGACTCCCAAAACACTTGAGGCACCTCAACATGGTGTGCAGTGTGTGGATAAAAAAATCTGAGGAAAGTGGACAAGTGGAAGATTAAAGAAGAAGTCCAATCCATCCATTTTTAACCGCTCCGTGGTTGCAGCAGCCTAAGCATATAAACCAAGACCTCCCTCACTTTAGCCACCTCCTTGAGCTCACCCAGGAGAACACCAAGGAGTTTCCCAGCCAGCCGAGAGATATAATCTCTCTGGTATGTCCTGGTCTCTTCCCAGTAGGACATTCCCAGAACATCTTGCCCAGGACGTGCCCAGAAGATGTTGAAACCACCTCAACCAGCTCCTTTCGATGTGGAGGACTAGCAAATCTACTTTGAGTGATTGGGGGTGCCGTTCAGGTGCGTCCGCCTTCCCCGCAGCAGACCACGCCCCACCACAGCTGTGCAGTCAAAAACAGGCTCACTGCAGTCACTAAGGGTGAACAGTATTACATTCTCACCAAATGATATATATATATGTATTATCTCTGTTCACATGTTTCTGGGTTTCTTTTTTGTAAGACTAAGACTGAACTTTATTTTTCCATGTTTGGCAATATTCACATTCTGTTTAACTTGATGCTTTTTTTGAAGAAGTGGTGCAGACTAATGAAGCAGTCTAGTTACAAAAGTTACAAATAGTTGTTTGAAATGAAAGTTGTTTGTTTAAAAAAATTTTTTACCAAAGGCATTATTGTGAATGAGTTTATTATCTAAATAAAGTTGCAGCTAGGCTTTTCTGTCATTGTTTTGTTTAGGTGGGGCCTGAAAATATTTCTTCCTGCTTTGTGGGGAATGATGTAAAAAGCCTGAGAACCACTGCTTTAGAGAAAGCTCTTTCACACCTCTCGTATCTGCAATTTCGTCATTTCGCTCACTATTGACCAGTAAATGAACAGCTTTGCTTTAATACTCAATTCTCTTGTCACCACGACAAACTGGTCCAGTGTCTACATCACTGGAGCCATCGCCACAATTCATCTGTCAATCTCCCACTGCCCTCTCCAAGCTCCCAAGACATCTGGGGCAATAATTTGCCCATGACTTGCAGTGGGAACTCCCAACTTTTCCAGTTGTGGACCATGGTGTCAAACTTGGAGGACTGATCCAGGGCAAGCTCGAGCCCACCATCTGATAAAGCCTACAGAACCACATCATCTGCAAAAAGCAACTTCTGAGCCACCAAAGGCTCAGAAAGCAAAAGAAGTAGCAGCTAAAATGGATCGAATCACACGATGAACAGTATCTGAAATTCACATTGTTATATTTCCACATATGCTTGCACGTTTTCATAAATATCCATTTCTATTGTTCCAAGGCAACCAAAAGAAATTTGCACAGTGCTGTATATGCACTACTGTGGACGGTCTATGATTTAAAAACAAGTTTTCTCATAGAAACACAATTTTACATCCACCCCCAGCCCCTATAACCAAAGTATGGCATTTATAAATATTCATATTATGTAAACAAATGTCAATATCAACACCATCGCCTTCTGTGTCTGTGTCCGTTACCTGAAAATCCCTCTCCTCCAGGATCTCTTTCCTCCACCTCACCAGGAAGGCCGCACACACATACAGGTGAAAATGGGAGAAGCCCTCTGGTTCAGCCTGGTGAGCGAGATAAAAAAAAAAAACATATGATGTTGATTTAGCACAAGTTTAACATTTTGCAGCATGAAAACAAACAACACCTCCATCTCAGATGTGTTATATTGTTCAAACGGAAGCTCAAGAGTGCGAGCAAAGCATCTCGGAGAAGCTCAAACACTCCAGTCTTTCATCACAATTTCATTTTAGGGAAGATTTGGAAGCAGTTTTGCATGATGTATTTAGCCACGCATACGAAAAAGGAGACAGAGGGGAAAAAATTGAAAAAAATTGGAGAATATAAAACATTCTTTTCCTGTCAAAATCCAGAAATTTACATTTGCAGGGCGAGAAAGAAAGATACAAATCCCCTTTTCCTCTGCACAGCTTTTTATTTCAGCTGCTCGTTATGTATGGTGGCTTACTTTTTTTTTTATAACTCTGCAATGAGCAGAGGGAATTAAAAAGGGAGTAAGACAAAGGATAAGATGTTCCCTGTTCTATTCATTTTTCTCCAGAGCACCATCACAGCGGGGATAATTACCAAGGCCTTTTGAATGCAAGTGACTTAGGAGTATACGGTCCCTTAGAGAAGGAACACAATATTCAAAGTACATCCTGGTATGAGGACTTTTCTGGAGGCATTTTGACATGTGTTATTTTAGGGAACATCAAGGTTTAACTGGACACCTAAAATTTTTGCTGTTCCAAACAAATGTGCTGGTATTAAAGACAGCCAGACTGAGTCTCAAATAAAGCTCGGGGCAAGGCTTATTTGTGACAACAGCTGGGGAAGAAATAAAAACTCCTGTATAAATAGCTTGGAGTGACAACCAAACATTTGCATGAATCTGGAAGTCAAAAATCAACCAAAGGTAGGAAGACAGGAGCTGTGTAAGAGGACCCAGCTTCAGTCTGACGGCAAGAAAAGGCAACCAAAAGTGCAGAGAAAAGAGAGAGATGTAAACGGTATAGGAGTGACTGAGTGAGCGAGAGGCAGTCTGTATGCAAGTGTGGCAGGGCTCTGTAACCTTATCTCCCCTGGACAGACACTTTTAATCATATTTTGTAGCATTGCTTTTTTCCCTGTTCTTGAGATTGACAGCAATACGTGAAATTTTTCTCTCCATTTTTTATTTTTTTTGTAACTTGTCAGAAATTCAGGAAAATAAAATCTCCTAGCTGAGTCTTGCAAAGCCCTTCCTGTTTTCCTGTTTCAATTCAACTTCTCAGAACTGAAATAGAGATCAAAACTGGACATTTTGCTACCAAGTGACCACTACATAAACAGGATAACAAACTGACAAGTTTATTGACAAGCCTGATTAACCAATGCAATTTAAGTATGGAATTGCACCCATGAATTTCTATGTTCACTAGCAGGCTTTTCCTGGCTCAGAAATGTGGGAACATGAGTGGTCAGCGCACAGGGAAGGCAAGACTAGAGCAAGAAAAACACTCCTAGTAATCCCATAAATTAATGAGTATTCTGCAAGTGTGCGCCTTGATGTGTCCACTTTAATAGTGCGTGGTATTAGAAAAAAAACAAAAAATGGAGCACTGCAGTGCTCAAAATCATGAAACACACACGTCCTATAATTTGATATTAAACTTTGCAGTCTCTTTGGCACAGGTGGATTAGTAAAATGCCAAAGGCTGTACATACGGCACTGTACGTTCCAATAACTCAGCAATGTATCATCAGCAGTGCTTCCTCGACCGTATAACAGCGGCTATAACTCAGCAGCACGCGAGTTTCAGACCCTAACTTCATTTCAAAGGCAGAAGAGGAAGTGCATTTACTGACAAACCGTCTATTATTCTCTCATACACAGTACAGAGAGTGGTTCAGAGGTCGGCGCAGTGGCGATCACCCGCCCCACAAAACAGTCAATCTGGGAGAAACACTGGTCAGTTAACTTATTGCATTTAAATAACACAGACAGTGCCATGTTCCATATTTCGCCAGGTACTGTAATCAACTGTACGAGCTGATCTTTAATCACCATGCTCATTTATGCAGTGGATAACAGTGAGCCATAACTCTGCAGGAATTATCAGAAACTGCCTTTCCTCTGTGATAATTGAATTTCCCTCCAAGAAGGAAGGAACAAACAGATTAATAATGGATATACAGAAACGAACAGAGATTTGATGTTCGAAAAAACAGAAATTGTCTTCTCGCTCTCTCTTTCTGTCTTTTTTCTTTCCCCCCCCCCCACAACATTGTTAGGTTTTTGCAGACAGATTGATTCTCCCCACGCCTCTGCGTACATATCCTGTCGCTCGGTTTCCTTCTCGCTTTGCCTCCCACTTAGTTAAACCAGTTTTTACAATTATGCAATTAGCAGCGTCTGTGTGCACGCGCGTTTGTTTGTGTGCGTGAGAAACAATGAAAAAGTGAATAATGGAGAGTGCAGGGAGTGGTGAGACAAAAAGAGGGGTGTCTGTGAACAGCGAAGCATGGCGTGATGGGAGTTGTAAACTGGCAGGTGAGTGGCTTGTTGGTCGGGCATTGCAGCCGAAGCAAACAACTGAAGCAAGCAAGCAAACATGCGAGCGCGCACACACAAAGAGACGAGTGAGTATGAGTGGCATATGGGAGCACAATGTTTATCACTCTCCAAAGACTCACCAAGTTTTAATTTCCTTTCTTCTATGAGTTTGTTTGTGTGTGTGTGTGAGAGAGTTCATGGTTGAGGGCACCAGCGGGGCCGTGAAACTCTGACTTCCGCTCTATTTCTCGCTCTGCCCCCCGTCACTCCCTCTCTGTCGCCACTCCATTCTTACAATCTGTCACCTCCTTCAGTCTCGTTCAACAAAGGTCTGCTACTCACTTTTCTCCCGCTTTCTCTGTAATCCCACTGTGAAGACTATTTCATAAATTAGAGAGTGATTTTTCTTGACAGTTAATATAAAATTTGTCATCTATCATTTCCACGAGCAATCCAGCATTAACGTGAAATCTATTGCCTCCACCGACTGCATAGTTATTGGTGGTATATGACTCGTGTTCTTCTTCACTTTAATGCGTTTAAGGCACAGAAGTTGAAATTATTAAATGCCACTGCATCTGTAGGCCAGAATTATTCTGATGTTCCTGTGAAGTAATGCAGGCCACAGTATAAATGGCTCAATATTCAAAAAATGTGCATGTTTAATAGTTGTTTGCTATAAATACGATTTAAAACTGTTCATAATTTGTTCTGTGCATGACTGACAGGCTGCCCTGTGAAGCATTTCTATGTAATGATTAAAACTGTTTTAAGTTTATTAGCTCTGAAAGGATCTGTGGATTAGCTGACTGACAGAAAATGAACAGTCAAGTCTGATAATTGGTTCATCATATGAGTCATTTAAATTTCAAATATTTGCTTGATGGAGCTTCTGATTGGTGAGGATTTAGTGCTTTTCTCTGCTTCACACAACTCCGGGTGAGAGGAACTGTGGTTCTTTGTCCATAGCTACAATTTACAGATGGCCCCTGAACTCCACACATTAAGATAACCGGTAAGAGTGTGTGATAGTTTGGTATGGATCAATACCAAGTAAATATAGGGCCAGTATTACCGATACTGATACTTTTAACCTATAAAGGCAGCTTATGTGGGGGAGATCGGTGTGTCATGACTTATAAGATGAAATGTGCAAGCTAAACACATCCTAATGACCACTAAATTTACTTTCCACAACAATTAGTTAACACAACAAAACAGACTTTTCATATATTATTCATGTATCTCATGTAATGTGTGCTAAAGGCTAAAAATAAAATGGATGTGACAGTCAACACAAAAACATTCAGACATTGCTCATTTCTATTTTCAAAAAATAATTTCTTTTTGAAAAATTCAGTGGGCTACATACTCAACTTAAGGGTTATAAACACAGTATTGATCGATCCACCCACCTGTAGGAACAGGCTGTTGTGAAAGCTTCTAGCCCCGCATATACATACCGTGCTTTCAAAAGAGGACAGATACAAAGATATATTCACTGTAAAAACCTCACTTCACACATTACAAACCTGTAAATTGTGACGGACCAGGAGCCGAATGAGCGACTATGTTACACATATTCCGGTTAAATGACTGATTCAATTCAATTTTATTTATTCAGCACCAAATCACAACAGCAGTTGCCTCAAGGTGCTTTATATTGTAAGGTAGACTGCACAATAATACATACAGAGAAAAAAACCCAACAATCATATGACCCCCTATGAGCAAGCACTTTGGCGACAGTGGGAAGGAAAAACTCCCTTTTAACAGGAAGAAACCTCCGCCAAACCAGGCTCAGGGAGGGGCGGGGCCATCTGCTGTGACCGGTTGGGGTGAGAGAAAGAGTTCAGCTAAATTAAAAATAGATGTAGCCCCTTAAAGAGCTTGTGGGTCAGTGTATGTGGCAGAGCCAGGATATGTCATAATACAAGTTCCACCCATCTAAACAACTGATCTTAATTTTAATGACAAGAGTTCCTGGTTCTAGTTCCAGTTGAGGCACAGACATAATAGCATCAATTCATCTAAATCAGTTCTGAATACAGAGAAATGTCTTAATTATTTTATAGTTTTTAGTTGTATAGACTCTGGTAACTCAAATATAAATATAAATAAAATGGTATTTTGTAAATGGTCCTTTACCACCATCCGTTTATTTCATCGGCACACTGCTCTTTCTTGCAGCCCCATCCACAGCTATGTTATCTGCTGCCGCTGGTGCTCAAGGCTTACTCGTCATTATGATTTGCAAAACAAAGTTTGTCGTAGGAGTCAAGGTGACTCCGTCAAACTTGTCTCTACCTCTTCTCCTCCTCCATTGTTATGCCTGGTCCTCCACCCTCCTCGTGTCAGGGCAGCCATATTGGCTGAGACACGCGAGACTCTGACTGACAAGCGCCGCTGATCAAAGTACGGAGAAAACAGGGGGGCGAAGGACTCGGGGTGATAGGGGTATGCTGAGTGCAGTCGATTGGGAGAACAGGAGGAGTAAAAGGGAGGGGGGGTCACCAGAGACATAAA